TGGTTCAAGACTTGTTTAATTCCGGCAGCTTACCGTTGGAAGATAGCCAGTGTCTATATTGTATGATGATCACTCATCTTTCATGTGGCCGTTCGCACTTGTTTTCTGGCTAGATCTGGCTTAAAGCTTGTTCTATTTCACCGACAGTTGTCTTTTTCACACGCTTTTCATTGTGCGTGTGTGTTTGACCACTTTTGGCGATAATTATGTTACCATTCATTAGTTTATGACAATCGTTCTTGCCGAGTCTTGCACATGTCTCAATGTCGTTGTGGGTTATTATTTCTTATTGGTTGCAGTTACACTAATGAGTCCTTGTGGACTCTACACTTTCTTTTCCTATTGGCCATTCATGCGTAATTCCTTTGTTGTTTCCAGTTATTTCTCTTGATTGCAGAATTGCATCGTGTCTTGGTCTTTCACCGCAAAAGAATGGTTTTCTTTTTGCGGACTACTCCTTTATGATATAGTGAGTGTTTATCTTACGTTGTTTATAACCTCCTTTACCTTTACTGTAGACACATTTAGCACCATCAACCTCAAAACATGAATTTTAGTTAAAATTAAGTTGAAGTGGAGAAAGGGACAAGGGGCTATTATTTTAATGTTGAAAAGGTTGTGGCATGGCGTAGTAGTTGAGAGACAGAAGAACAACGGTAGAGTTCAGTCCTACATTTTGCTCGCATTGGAACTTCAGATCGAGATAAGGGTTGGTAATCGAACTTTATAATAGAGCTTAAAGGCTTCCTGATGTGTCTCGACGCACGGCTGCAAATACTTTTAGGATGCCCGATGGAAATGCAATGCCGTAAAGTTGTCAAAGTTAAAGATCGAAAGATAGAAATGGGAGTTCAGTCTCATTTGTTCGTATGAAGTTTCGGAGCTCAAGAAAGCTTGCGATTTCTTCCTCCATCCATCATGACGCAGAACTGCAAATGTTCAAGATATCTGAAGTAAGTGAATTGTTATGAAGTCGGCAACAATCAAAAACAAGACCCAGTGTGAACAACATTATGATGTTCAGTTTCACAAACACATTTCGCAATTGTTGCATCTTTTGCTACAGAATCCCTGCCGCGTCTGGCAGGATATTCGTGGCGGGACCTCTCGTAGCTAAAAATTCGAAACTGAACCTTTTCGTGCATCTATGATAGACATGTCTTGTTGCTTAAGTGGTTCATCTTCGTGCGATTCATACTTTTCGTAATGTTTGTTAGAATGGGAATTGCTGGACAGAGTAATCCAAGAGATTGCCTCCGCAAGATAGCGTGATTGTATAGAAGTGATAGGAACAACTGCTCAGATAGTCGCAGGGGCAGGCGGTCGGCAAACTCGCGCTTTTCTGCAAGCGGTCAGCAGAATTTTGGGGCGTGGTCAAACCTTCAGCGAGCTGTACTTTCGTGTTCTGCCAGCAAGCAGCATTACAAGATCCTCTGCAAGCGCTTGTCAAACAACCTCTTTCAGCGAACGCTAGCCAAACTTTCAGCAAGCGCTCGGACTCTTTTTACGCAATTTTGGGCGTGCGCCGATCAAAGGCGGGACTCTGTGTGGCAGAGGTATCATCGATGGTTCAATTACCCGAATTTGGGTACTTTCTCTCAGCAGAAGGTGCCTGCGGGCTGTGCGGTCTCCCAAAAAGGACGTGCGGCCCTCAACAATTTTGCAAACTCTCGCGGAAAGTTCGCGAGAATGCGGCCACTGCGCGGTTACTAAATTTTAGCGACACGGTTGTTCTCCGAGCGTTCATCTAAAAATTGAACCAACATTCTTCCATATTTCCGCAGGCAAACCGCAAGAAATCAGCAGACTATTTTTCTGGTGCCCGCTTGCCCAAAAATCGCATGGTCGCCTGCCTGCGGCGATTATATGAGTGTGTGAGTTAATCCTTTTTTCTGCACATGAATTACAAATTGCATTTGGTTTTCTGCAACGCAGTTTGAGTTCGTAAAGCTGTCAGGTTGGCTGTATTTCGATATGAGACAATGTTAATGCACGAACAGATCCTAGGAATAATTAGTGCGGTTGTTAAACCACCTCTTCTCAAATTTAGGTAGCAGTATAGGGCCGACTACTACCCGACAGGCGAAGTTACGGTGAATTGAATTGTCGAAAGATGACTTTTTTCATAGACAAGTCCTTAGAACCATGCTATCACACTGCACTTAGGACAACTGTGTGAATTGTACTTTAGTGCATAATATAACTGAATGTGATAGCGTTCAACTTTGGTGAAGTTGCACGGCAAGCTCAACGACTCATTATCGTGCTATATCCGAAATTTCAAACAATCCGTAACGTAGCATTCTCCATTGGCTTTCTCCAGCACGCTCCCGTGGATAATTTGAATGATGAAAAAAAATAGAAAGACGCTTTCTTTTCGCTCAATATTCAGGAACTTGAATATCCACCTGAAGCCTAAGTTCTGTTTCTGTTAGCGTGTTACTTTCCAAAAACTGGGAGAGTTTCTTCCATAATCGGAAAAAACATCAAAAAGTGAACGATATGGTTTATGGTAAAACATAATAGTCGTAAGCAGATTATTCGTCGACTGAATACAAAGTCGAGGATGGATTGTGTTACTAACGCATAGCATGAAACAGTGTGTGTATTTCTCTATGCTCCCTTTAGAAATTTGCTTGTGTGATGATACCAATGTTTGCGTAAACCCAAGCATTCTTCGGAATGAATGCGACATGCAGTTTCTAACAATTATAAAGTGTATAATAGTCGATTAACTAGTTCCGAAATAGGCAAGTTTCCCTTGTAAGAGGCAAGTTCACCGCGATCTTCCCGCCACCATTTGTCTATTAGTCATGGCAGGGGTACTGTGGGAAAAGGTGCACTGCGAAATCTGTTCTGTTTCATTTTCACATTTTGCTTACATTATATCTTTTAAAAAAGCTTGGAAAAGATCAATCGTTTTCATAGTCCGTTATGACGCCAAGCTAATGAGATAACTGGAAATGAATACATCAACAAGCATGGGCGATTTCCTCTTTTTCTTCATCCAAAACACAGTTTAGAAAAAAAATGCAGCATCTGCGCACACTAATCGAGTGCTCAGTATATTAGTCGACAATGATCTAAATTTGGTCGCCGTGCATCCGCAGATCAGCGGGTTCGTGATATATGTGCAAGGGTATGGCATTTACAAAATTTGCAAAGAAAGGGTCTACTGCAGCTACAGTTCAAGACCATGCCTGCTCTCTGCACATCCCGTATCGGCAGGCAGCCATGATGCAAATGTAAATGTAGGCGACATCATGCTGTTTCTGAGATCATACTATAAGAGAATGTACATGATTTAGCGCATTCGGTACAGTGTCGCTGTCTTACGTTGGCTGCACCGTTTATGATTAAAGGCATGATCCGCCGGTGCGTCGTATGACTTGGGATGGTAGTCTTCTAACTAGAGCTCTGCCTGAATACCATGGCCGGTAGTAATCCCCTCGACCTGGCGGCAGGTCTCGTCGGCAGGTCGCTGGCACCTTTTCCGTGAGGTGACCAGAAAGTGAAACCCCAAATTTAGGCGTTCCCAGGCCTATTTCCAAAAAATTTTCTCGACAAAGATGCCGCCTAGACTCTGTAGAAAACTCCATAGAAATCTGCGGTTCTAGAAATCCTCCTGTGGTAAAATATCTGGAAGCGCAGAAGGAGCTGCCGGCAACTTCGCGATGTAAGTTGCCGGCAACCTGCGTCGAAATCCGCGAGATGGCAGCTGCCGGCAGGTCAGAGAGCACGGGAAATAGTGTGCTCTTTTGAGAGAGGGAGCCGCCGGCATCTCGACGTGCCCCTACCACGTCCTCAGACATTCGCGGTTGACGACCGCCGGAGATCCGCCCACTTTCGCTTTGTTTCGGGACAAAGTTGTGTCCTGCGGTTGTCCCGATTCACCGGCAATTGCGTCGGGATTGTCCCGACGCGTATCAATACAATCGATCGCCTGCATGCAGCGAGGATAGCCGGCTTCAAGCACACGTTCAAGTGTTCCGCCTGTTTCCTAAAGCTTCGTATATTCCCAGCGTTCATCGGCGTCTTCTTTGATTTCAAGTTCAGATTATCGGATTTCGGACTGCAACCTTCTGCTTCTGAAGTTTGAGCTCAGATCAGTCATCCTTCTTAGTACAAGAGCTTTGCTTCTTCGCGTCAAGTGTTGACAGTTGTTAAGGGGGATTTGTTTGTACACGATTTGTTTGTACACTTTCAGAAGAATTGCTAAAGGCAGAGTTTGCTGTATCTGCATGTTCAGCGCCCATAACGCAAAGTCTGGTACTTGTTTTCCTTGGACTGAACGGTTTTTGCATACAAATTTTCTTTGTTTGTCATAGAGTTTCTTCCTCAAGTTCCATGCTCCTTCTTTTTGCATTTTTAGGGATTTTTCAACTCGCTGATTTTTTTTATCTGTTCAGTGAATCCCAAGTTTTGGGTCTTGTTTTGTATGGTGGATTCTTTTTGGGTTCAAATTTACTTCCTTCTTTAGGGTATCTAATCTTATACCTTTTCTATCGTCATACCCTCGAGCACCTGTCTCTTGAATTCGTTAACTCCCGGTTCCTCGTTTTGCTTTCTTTTCGAAATCTACATCGATCTTTTAAGATATTCACTACATTGGTGTCTTTATTGAGAAGATCGTTTTAGTTCTGCAAATTATAAAATAGAGTTGGGAGTAAAGTAAATAGAGTTAAAATAGAGTTCTTTTTACTTGTCTTTTTCAAAAAATAAATGTAACATTCCTGAATTTGGTGATATTACGCCGTATCTTGTTTGCCTGCATTTTGAACAATGTTATCTTCGTATCAAAGAGGTTATTTTCTCTCATTATGAAGGTTGATAACACACCAATTCTCGTTCTTTTTTGAAGGGCTTTGCTTTGTACAGCTATAGCATATACTTATCTAAATTTCCCATCGTTTTTGTTGCTTGACCGTTTTCTTGTAATCTAGTCGACTGTTCAGTTTCCTCCTCATTGCGGCAGCGGCCGCGTCATCCACTTTTGTACTCACAGCTTTACGAAGATCACCTTAGATATCCGAGGGCGCTTGATGTGCGTTGATGCTGGGCGCGTCGTCTCTAGACCCGTCGTCGTCAACGTCTCCGTGGCATTCTGCACCTACTGCTGTCGGACATCCATCTTCTAGTTCACAACCATCCAAGTCGGTACCATCCCCTGCGAAGACGGAAACGGACACTGCTACTTCAACCTCGCATGACGTCAAAGACGAATATTCTCGTGGGTTTCCTCTATTTTTCTTTGGTTGGCCTGATGAATTTTGAAGTGTATTGCTTGTAGCACGTTATCATCTTTTGGTAGCGAAAAAAAAGATACCTCAGTTGTTTCTATCAATTCGGCATTTAGTTTTTTTCCTGTGACTGTATATCAAGTCGTTCCAAAAGTTCGATATTCGCGACTCTTTGCTTTGATGGCAAACCAAAGTTGTTTCAACTTTTTTGGGAGCATGTTTTGAGATTAAGTTGGCAGATTTGCATTCAACAGCAGCTTAAAGAAGCTTTCTCTTTCTGAAAGATTGTTTTCAGCTGCAAATGGAGCAACGACAGAGAATGTTGATGCAGCAGCAGCAGGTCCATGCTGCTGCTGTCGCAGCTGCTCAGGCTCAACAACACCAAATGCCCGGTCAGCCTGCACAAGCTCCACTAACGCCGGGTGGATTTTACAGCCCCGCAACTCCTGTACAACAAGCGCAAGCGCAGCCGCGGCCTCCAATGGTGAGCCTATTCATTCACAAAATTGATGAACTTGTTGTCGATGGATAGTTTCAGACCGGTCGAGAGATGAGGGGCGAAATCGGTGCATACGAGATTTATAAGGGATTGCCAAACAAGATGATGTTCTTTATGATTCTAAGGCATTACTGAATTTTTTCTCTGTAAGAAAACCGTCGTGTTTCAAAAAAGAAAAAACTCGTATAGTGAAAAAAATGATAGTTTTTTGATGAAAAGTAGAATTTTTGATTTTTTCGCCTGACGTAAATTGTGTGATATCGCCGCAATTCGCAAACTCGCAGACGCCGTCGGCAAAGGTGCCACCACCTCGACCTCAGACATTCGCGGTTGACGACCGCCGGTGAAAGGGAGTTCGACTCATTGACAACCTGCGGTACACATCCTTTTGTTTCGGGATAATCCGGGCTATTGGTTCGGTCAGCATAGTAGTATACTGGCTTACTGTTCGCTATCTCGCGGATATAGAGAGCTTCACCGTAGGACGCATAGGTGCCGTAAGGATGCTGGCACTAGCAATGAAGACCCTATGGGGAATTGTATCGAAAAAGTTATTCACACTAAAACTTCACGTAGGATGTAGTTTAACAATCAATCGACTTCAAATTCACTGCCTTCTTTCTAGTGTTTTATCGACCACTGTGTATTGGAGGATCTATCTCAATATGGCTCTCCATATCTATGGTCTGCCTCCCCTTTTGAACGACTACATCAACAGTTACAGGCAAGGGTAGTCCAAAAGAAGACCAACTGCGAGAAAACATTAGTCGAAAAGTGCTTTTTCTTATATTCAGTATTACAGTACTCTTATTAATTGACTAGTCGCAATCGTTCAGTTTCCTTCTTCACAAGGAATTGACGCGATTGTCCTCGGAACAAGCTAGACACAGCAAGAATCCGCTTTTCCTGAGATTGCATACGAAAGTACTAAGACACTGCAAAAACAGGTTGCTATTGAGTTGCATCGGCTTTAGATCGCTATGAAACTACCATACTTCTATCTTAGATTCCCTGTCAGCGCGCGATTGAATAATGGATGGTTTGTGCCTGCTGGATCCAGTTTGAGCTTTCTCGATTTGAAACCACAACATCAGTCGCTTTTGGTTCCTTTTAAAGAATACCTTTTCTGGTATGGTCTCTTGTTTCTTTTTCATGCTTCTCTTATATTGGTATACAGCTCCCGACTTTGTAACGACCAATCCGTGTACAACTCGGCAGTCTACTGGACAAGACTTAGTGCGACTATGCAGCATTGTGTATGTCTGGATGTAAACGATTGCCTCATATTCGGAAATGTTATTGTATTTGCTCACAACTCAGGAAAGGAATGCTATGTACTCTTGAAAGAGTTCGAAAAAAAAGATCCTTTTTGTGGCTTGGAAGATGCCTTGCATAATGACGATCACGAAGCGAAGTTCGCTGCTATCAAAGCTTTAGATTTGACGCAATTACTCAACAAGTACTTTTTTGTTGTAAACTCGAAGCATTTTGAATTGCGGAACGCCTATGATATAAAGTACTTGGCCACTATTTTCGAGTTCAACAACAAAACATACATATCAAGACTCTGACATGTGGTTTCCTTCGTAATGGTTTTTTGTTCTCTATTATGTTCTCAGCTCTTACGTATTAAACCTTGTCAATAAAGTCTTTCACAGGTCTTACATTTTATGAAAGGTGTACGTACTTTTTGCACCTAAATACCTGTATATCTATATATACACTTATAATAGACTACACTACTCAGACTGGTCTACTACAGCGATTTTCTGCATACCCAATGGATGACATGTATGATCCTTACGTACCGCAGTACGTAAATCGCTCGCGCTCTGGAACTTCTTCTCCCGTATCGGGTGAGTGTTGATGTAACATTTGAAATCCTTTATCGTTATTTACAGAGGACGACTTATTTGAAAAACAACCGAGCAGGCCTTATGAGGAACTAGTGTCTCGCAAGCGCAGTGAATTACCGGAAACAAACGGGACCTCTGCTTCGTCGTTGCACAGTTAGTTCTATCATCAACATTTCATACCAGTTCATATGAGATCGGCAATTTCGCGAACTTTTTTTTACGGAAGAAAAAATGCAAAAATTGAAAAAGTTTTTGGCTTTTTTATGGCTTAATAATCGCCTTGAAGATAATAACCAGCGGTTTCGCTCATGTTTTTGTATAGTGGACTTTCACGTTGCTAGCATGTGCTCAATCAATGTTTTCGTTTTCGAAACTATAAGCATTCCCATGTTTAAGAGGCCGTTCGCAAACCTCTCAAACAAGTATGTAGAGAAGCAACTGGGCACAAAGGCATTTCGAGAGAGTTGGCGCTGCCGGTTACGGCTGATGGACAAGGTGATCGGCCCTGGGGTACCCATCAGAAGTAATTACGCATATTGCAGAACTATTGAAAAGTGTGTTAGAAGGCAATTTACTTTCTCTTTCGAAATTGGGGAAAGTTCTCCACCATATCCAGCAGGATGCCGAGAATAAGGTTAACCAATAGGGTAACAACTGACTCTGACGTTATATACGAATTGCTTAGGAGTCGTTGATTCACAAAATGAACAACGCTTCCATCAATCTTGAACACATCGCAAGACTCCAAGAAAATGTGAACACCCTTCCGCATTCGTCGGACTCGATCGTGCGCAGCATGACGGCATAGTGCGCGAACAGACAAACGTTATTTGCGGATTATCGATCGCTGTAAGCAGTCGTTTAACGCTTTTACATACTCAACGTCGGTTTATAGATGGGCGTTGCCTTGAGCAGAGTGCGCGAACTAGAAAAACAAGTGCAGAGAACAAGATACCATCTGGCGAAAAATAAGTCGAAATCATTGCCGGAAAATTGCGGATTTTCGAGAAGTAACATAACGAAAACTTGGAACATTAAAGCACAGCCACCCTTCAAGGTAACGCAGTGTAGCAGGCTTGGGTTTGGGCCAAGATCAGCCCATTTCAGGAGATAAACATGATTTCGATTTTTGAGTTTGGAAACGTCCAGTGCGCTCGAACAAGCACGACCACTACCTGCACTCTACTGGATTTCTACCGTCACTTTTTCCTCAATGTAAGTACGACCTTGTGCAGTCAAGTTCGAGAGCTACATGTATTTAGGCATGTGATCCCATCCACATCATTCAACATTACGCATATCGACAATCCGGCAAAAATGACAAGGACAAAAGCCTGAAAGACCTTCCCGAATCAATGGTCACTTTCCTCATAGGCAAGTTTCCTTGAGACCACTTGAAGGAGTTGACTTCAAGTTTCAGATTTCGTCCTTGATGCAATGGGATTGTTCGGCGATGAACTCCTTTTACCACCCGCAGATTGCGCTAGAATTCACGGAAGGTAGTTTTCACCACGTTAATGATAAAAGATATCTATTGCCTTTTCAGGTACTGGGCTGCTCTGGGCGAGACGGAGTCTCAAAGAAGAAAAAGGTTCGATGCGCTATCCGAAGCGCGAACAGACTGGAGTACGCATGCACGCGAAGCCCTTTGCAGAGCATTGTAAGTATTTCATGCTTTATCTTACTCTGGTCTCGCCCGGGTGGGTGTAAAAAATTCCTGTGGAGGTTGCTAACATCCGCGTTTGTTTTCAGAGCCGACATTCGTCAATATGAATTCGATGCAGCACGCCTGACGCTCATGCCGCCCAAGGTAAGTTTCTCTATTCACAGCTTTGATGTCATTCATTCTTTTTCAATTTCAGAAAAAAAGAGTAATAACGACGCAAGAAGGAACAACGATCGAGAAAACGGAAGTCCGTGAGTCGCCTGAGGAAGATTGATCCCTTTTTTGTGTTTTCGCTCACAGATGTATGATCTTCTTGTTGCGAGAGCTTTGATGTTGATTTTCTGTTCTTGAGAGTAGATCTTTCTGTTTTTGCTCAGGAATGTATAATTTTGCTGCTGCAATTCTGTTGTTACGAGTTTCCTTATCATTTGTTATGGTTTTGTCGTTGAGTTAACCTAAGATGAATAAATCTCTGTTGATTCAGTCTCTGTTGTTTACATAGTATACAATGTATGCGAGAAATTTGAACAATATCAAGTGCGCTCTACGGCTAATTCCACGCCCCATGGTCGGTTCGGGACTCCTGCATTTCACCGCCGTTTCACCTGCGTTCGACCCGAACATGTGCTGCAGGTGAATCCCGAACCAAACGCAGGTGAAACCTGTTCGACCGGCGTTTCTCCGACAGTCTTGTCCCGAACCAATAGCCGGATTATCCCGAAACAAAAGGATGTGTACCGCAGGTTGTCAATGAGTCGAACTCCCTTTCACCGGCGGTCGTCAACCGCGAATGTCTGAGGTCGAGGTGGTGGCACCTTTGCCGACGGCGTCTGCGAGTTTGCGAATTGCGGCGATATCACACAATTTACGTCAGGCGAAAAAATCAAAAATTCTACTTTTCATCAAAAAACTATCATTTTTTTCACTATACGAGTTTTTCTTTTTTGAAACGACGGTTTTCTTACAGAGAAAAAATTCAGTAATGCCTTAGAATCATAAAGAACATCATCTTGTTTGGCAATCCCTTATAAATCTCGTATGCACCGATTTCGCCCCTCTCTCGCTCATATCAATCAGCTGTTCTTTCAGGTCAAAGTCTCTCACGCAATGTATCGATCCCTCTTACAGGCAGCCATTAACCAGCGCGTTCCTCCTATTGCTGGTGCAAACGGCAATGGCTGACCGAATGGTCGAATGGTTAACGTGGTGGCATTTCAAGTTAACGCACATAGGTTCGACCACGCGCGAGGTAGCAGTTTTGCGGCTGTCTGCGTCATCAAAAGTTAGTGTGCGAAATGATTGCGTGCTAAGGTTACATAAGATTATTAAATAAATCCTACAATCACTCCGCGAGCTGCCGGCGGAGTTGGCATCTTTCCGCGATGTGTGCCAACTTGCCGGCATCTTTGATGCCACCAGGTAGGGTAGATTACTACCGGCCCATATGTCGGAAATTTATGAGCTTCATCGTACTGCGAAGGGCAGACTTTGAATATAGTCGTAATGTATTAAAATGACTCGAGTTACTCGAGAAAACCTTGAAAAAACAGTCGAGTGTTGCGAATTACACACCAGAAACTGAAAGATCGACAATTGTGATGCCAAAATAATGGTATAGAGCTCTGCGTAATCGTAAAGGTTGGTGAGTTTGCGCATTTGCTCGCGCAATGAGCCTCAGATTTTTTCCCTGTCCTTTCTGCTGACAGATGTTGACTTTGAATCACCTGGAGCGGTTCTGATACGGGGTTCATTTGACATTTTTGAGGCCTTGTGGTATCCTGCGTGAGCAGTGGCCGAAACACCGACCTTCACGATCTGGCAAAGTCCATTGTAAAAGGAATCACCTGTTGAGCACAGGCACAAACAGATGGCAAAAGGCAAGCAACACATAAGTTGATTATTCACATTTTCGATATGAAGATTGACTTTATACAACGAAACAAATATCAGTAGTGGTAGTAGTCTGGTCGAACCCAACGAATGATGTGATGGTTCAATCTTGATAACATCGTAGTAAACATGTCGTCTTCTTACGGCCATACAGTTCAATCGGTCATACAAAATCATGAAACAAGCAAATAAGTTACGGAAAAGCACACTTGTTTCATGCTTGTTTCATTCTCAACCAAACTACGAAGTCAGCTGGTTAACATAACTGTTTTGCCATCAAATAGAGTAATGGAAATAACACTTTATTTGATGAGACGCAGACGTAAAACCATCACATCCTTGAAATGAACGAGTTCCCCTGACCACTTTTTTCGTTTAAAACAATGACGTGTGTCAAAAAGAGTGAGAAAGATCATTCTGGCTTCATCATTGGGTCTTTCATATCTTCCTTAGTTTTGGCTTTTGCTTTTGATGAAGTGTTTGATCTACCGGAAAGTACCTGTAGAATACGAAAGAGCCAATACTGTTATTTAAACATTGCTCTTTATCTTTGAAGCGTACCTATTCGATTTTCTTTTATGACTTCTCATAACGGAGTTTTTTTTGTTGAGAAAATAAGCAATTTCAACACGCATCTTAGTTTCCATACGCAGAATTTATCAATAGAAATATTCCATCTGGAATTTCTAGCAATGATGAGCGGAATTTCTAGTAACAATGAGAAGCAACTATTTACGAGACTATGACGCATATGAAAGTTATCTTCTTGTCAAGGTACAAGGAAGGGTGAAGCGCACTTCCATAACATGTGTTATTTCGCGTTTGGAGGGACTAAGTTAGCCCAAATTATAAGAAAAGTGCAAAATGGCTGTTCGGAGCTTGTAATCAAACATTTACCACTTACAGCCGTTCATTGGTCAAGGCCCGACAGCAAGACCAAATGCGGAGTAGGTGCCGAAGTCTTACTTCTTACCACTCGAAAACTTTTGCTTTCAGAAGTTGAAACAAAGGTAGCTGTTTCAAAAATAAAGAACGGATTTTGCAGCGCAGGGTTGGCTCTTTCGAAGGATACAGGTACTTGCTGTAAGCTACTATTTTATCAAAAAAACGGAGACAAAAACACGCTGCGAACTTATGAAACTATTTGAATCGGTTGCAGAAATTTGTGCACCATTGGCAGGCACGCACAGTTGTATGGAGTTGCCAGTTGCAAGCACTTCTGATCAGATAAGTCCCTCTGGAAAAAATTGATAGCAATTTCAGTAAAGGTGATTAGTAGAAAGTCAGTCATGCGTCTTGCTTTGAGGCAAATTGAGTCTGCATTCGTGCATTCGTTACTTAGCCCTAGTGAGGCTAACTGGAATGATATTCACGAAAGTTCCCGCGAAATGGGCTTTTCATGCGAATAAAATGGACTATATCCATGCGGTGAGATAAGATATCGCATTGCGAATCCATTCATTCCATACAAAACTTCTTCGGCAAACCTTCCTCCAACTTGCTTCAAAACCTGTTTACTCACTCTTGCGAACTCAGTTCCACCAAGTGGTCGACAGCTAACTAGACTGAACTAACATTACAAAATCAGTCACATTGGTATTTTATTCTTTCCGATTTCGTTACACCTCACAAAATGCCATTTATTATCGAGGACTGTGCGCCTAAATTACTTCCAAAACTAAAATTCATGCGATATCCGGCCCTTCGCTTTTTGAGACTTCTATAAATCTACAATTAATCAAATTTGTATGAAGAGCTTTCTGCAGAAAGCAAACATTGGCTAGGCTTGCACTGCAATCTGTGAATCAAATTGCATATCTCATAGGAAACCTTGCACTAAACTACAACCCAAAGGCTTTTTAAATCGGAAGAACTACAAGTCTGCAAAAGATGACTTCGCAAATCTTCTACTTTAGCTCTTCTTTGTCTTTCAACATTGATGTTTATATCTCTAAGTAGTTCAATGTATAGACTATTGCTAGTAAGAAACTTTTCACAGAATTTTTCAGCTAGCGGCTCTTCATTATTTCTTGCGACCAAACTCAAAATCGCGTTTGAAATGCCATCTTTGATGTTTGGTTCTATGAGATTAGTCAAAAGATAGATTCTGAGTGATTATATTGAAACGCAAATCTTTTTTTACTTTCAAATACAAATCATAAATATAGTTTTAGTTGATGATTTGACGAGTTGCAAAATGAATTTAGAAAGAAACATGTATTTCAGACTTCATAAAAGACACAAAACTTTTTCCACTCTTTTATCACCTCAATATAGGTTAAGAAACACATTCTCAAAAAATCGCAATCAAAAATGTGCAAAAAGGTCAAAAATGGGCTTTGTTCCAGCTCACCTTGCTGCTGGGAGTAGAATGGTCTTTCAAATCCATTTAAAATGTAGGTAAATCCCATTTTGCCCCATTCTAAATGGACTTTTTGCATGATTGTTTCGTAAGCGAAAGCTCAGGTAGGGTTGAATCATTTTCATCACACCAGGTAGGGTTGAGTCATTTTCATCACACCGCTTTGCCTCGTGGTTGCGATGAGATAAAAATTTTTGGGACGCTAGCGAATGTAGTTTCCGACCAGTTTGTACCGCGAACGAATAAAATGGGGTTTGGAAGTCCATTTTCCTCCATTATGCCGCCACCTCTCACCCACCTACCCTGGCGAGGTGCCACTTTATCATCGGAGAGTTTTTGTAAAACGTGGCCGGCAAAGTCCCATCGTCACCTCCCCGCGGTGCCGGCTGGCAACGGGGAGCAACCCCGGCAAACGACGAGGGCACTGTTCCGCCAGGCGGAGCGACGCGCCGGGGACTGTACGAATCAGTCGTGTCACATGCATCGGACTATTAAGGAATTTTGTCAAGCTGCTAGGGCGTCCCCCGGAGGCGACGCGCGTCATTGCCCGCATGGCGCGAATAGTGAGCTAGGGCTACCTGCCCCCGGACGAGGCAGGCCAAAGAAGCGAGTCCAGGAAATCCGACTAGCGACGATCAATATAGGAACGCTGACGAGCCGCAGTCGGGAGCTATGCGATAGGCTGAAGGAACGACACGTCGACATCGCATGTGTACAGGAAACGAAATGGAAAGGGAGGCAGGCAAAGGACATCGGCGACGGATATCGCTTGTACTACACGGGAGATAGCAGCCGCCAGAACGGAGTCGCGATCATCGTCAACGGCAGATACCGCGAATTAGTGACCGAAGTGACGCGCATCTCAGATAGATTGATGGCGATGAAGATCGAAGCAGATGATGCCACGCTCCGAATAGTCTCGTGTTATGCCCCGCAAGCCGCATGTACCGAAGCCGAGAAGGACGTGTTTTGGAGGGACTTCGACATCCTGCTAAGGACATTCGACGCTGCAGACTACATCTTCGTAGGAGGCGATCTCAATGGGCACGTTGGCCACGAACACTATGGATTCAAGCGATACCATGGTGGAAACGGATACGGTCAGAGGAATGAAGATGGAGAACGCATCCTGGAAGCAGCAGAAGCA